GACATATATCCTTCTGTTTCAATATCAACTTTCTCGGAATGAGAAACTGATAGATTATGAGCTGCGTGCCCCAAGTGTTATTGAAACACTTATTTGTTAAAAGATAAATGAGTAGCTGGTGGGGTTATGAAAAGAATTGGCCTGGGCTTTGCCTTTTTCAATATTAGTCTCGAAAGAATTGAGAATTAAAAGATTTTGTGGTATGCCCGGTAATTTCAAGTTCGGAACAGGATTCTTGTGTTCTTTTAATCCTGACACAATTCTCATCAATTCTTTTAGCTCACAACAACTATCCCTCTCTATTTCATTTTAAACTTAACACACAAACCTTTTTTGATGTAAGCTCACTCAGATATGGTTGTCCTTTTGGGTAGGTTTGTCGATTCTGACATTCCATAGAGGTATTTCTGTTAAGTACTCAGTCCCTCCTAAAATTAGCAGTATGCTCAGTTGATCACAACAGTTGATCAACAATAGTATTGCAAATAAAGCACAATGATCAGATAAAAAATTGATCAAAATATTTGGCTTTTAAGTACAATAAGACAAGGAGTGATACGCAAACTTAGATTATTCAAAGATCATATATTCAGAATGTGAGAGAAATGAATGAAGATCTGTAAGTACGAGTTTACAGATTCTGGTATTAAAAAAATTAACAAAATCTATATCAATCAAGGTAAAAAAAATATCAGAAAAAACCTTTGAATACAAACGAGCGTATTATCACTGAAAATGATATTATTATAAGAGACGTGATAATAACAGTTTGAAGAATAGCTGAAACAGGTATTGGAATTATGTACGATGAGAAATTACGCAAGTAAGATCTCAGGAAATACATGTTCAGAAAATGTACTCGTTTCCTTAAAACAAATCATTTAAAAAAAACATTTATTCAAAATTTCTAGAGACTCCCCCTAGAAAGTAGATTTAAGTAATGTTTCATTTTAGCTCAAAAACAATAAAAATAAAGGAAACATTTTTAGCACGGGTCCTAAACTAGGTGTTTAGAAACCACACTCGTTAAAGCACCGGTCCTGAACTGTGTTGTTCAGAAGCCTCTGTTTGAACATTGTACATGTTAGGACTGAAAAATCAGTATTAATTGTATTCGTCTTGAAAGATTAATTTTAGTCTATAATTGTAAAGTCAGCGTGTTTGACTTTCTTAGACTAGTTTGACTTTGACTTTGTTAGTTAGATTGACCATATAAATATGGTTAAGTGTTTTGTAATTAGTGTAAGAGAGCTAATTGTAAGATTACATTGATAATAGAAGATTTGACCAGAATTGAGAGGATTGACTTTTCCTCTCAATATTCATATGTGTTCATAGTGTTCTTAATGAGAAATCCATGAATCTGCCATTGATGTGAGCTTGATATTAAAGATTGATCAGTAATTGTGGACACACAATTGGTATCAGAGCAGGATGCAAGAAATCAGATGAATAAATCGATCAGATAAGTGAATTTTTCTGATTTTTTTTGGGTGTTCTTTGTGTTCTTTATTTTTTTTCTGTTTGATCCGAATTTTTTCATAAAATCTTGTGTTTTTGAGTTAAAAACATGATCAAAATGTTCGAAATTGAATTGTGAATCTTTGTTATTCACAAATTTTTATGATTTGATCAAAATAAATCAAGATTTAATCGGTTTTTAGGTTTTAAAATTTTTTCGTGTTCTTAATATTTTTTTAAAACCAGTGTTTTGATCCATTTTTTCTTAAATTTCTTTTAGTTTTTGTGTTTTTGAGTGTTTTTGATCTATTTTTTAATTTTTTTTGGTTGATTTTTTGTTAAACCGTCCAAAGCCCAATTGATTTAAAACTTAGATTTTTTTTGGGCTTCAAAAATTTTGGCCCAATAACATTGATCGGATAAGAATCCGCTCATAATCTCCATCTTCATCGTTTTGGACTTTACATTGTACACCATTCAAGCTTCACAGATTCGACTAAGTACAAACCGCACACCATTCAAGCGGTGTTCAAGTATACCGATCATCTTCAATCGGTATTCATCTTCACCGCACATCTCTTGAAAGTTATACCGGAGAAGTCTTACCCGGAGAAGAGATAAACTGTTGAAGCCATCATTCAGCCGGTGTTCATCTTTACCGCATATCTCTTGAGCGGAGAACGAGCGGAGAAGAGTCTGATTCGTTCAGCAGGTAAGTCATCTTGTGAGGACTGGATTTGATTACTCAATCTCAAAGGGTTTGATCGAATCATCAGGTTTGATCTTTTCTATTTCATCAAGTTTAGTCCAATTTTTGATCGGTTTATATCTAAATCGATTTTCTGTCCGGTATCTTTGTATACCGATTACTTCTTGAGCGGACTAGTGAGCAACTTCTTGAGCGGTTTAAGACTTGTGCATCAAACTAGATTGAGCGGACTTCTAATCCGCTTAATTCATTTTACCCAAATTCATTCTTAATCACTCAATACCTTGAACATCTTGATAAGACTCGATTATATTTTGACTGTTTTCTTTGGGATTCTTAATTGTCCGGTTTATACCCTTGTGCTGTATGTGTCTCATATGCTGTTCGATTTAGACTGGTGCTGTGAGGTTTATTGTTGTTACAGGTTTACATGCTTGATTTAGACTGTGTGCAGGTGACAAGTTGATTTCATTTTTTAGTGAAATAAAAGCAATAGTGGACAGCTCAGTCCTCTGTTCATGACTGTATGTGGTAGACTTGCTTATGGCTTGATATTCATTTGACTAACAGAGCTGTATTAAGCTTTGTTTGACTTGTGTAAAACCAGCTTTGAGTTAGTGGATAAAACAGCAGGTTTGCTGTTTAACAGGTTCTTAACAGTAGCAACAAGTTGGTGCAAACAGAACAGTAGCAACAAGGAGATCTGTGTTGTATTTCAAGCTACACAGTGTGCAGCAGATTTAAAGTTTTGACAGCAAAGAACTGCAGCAGCAACAACATTTGACAGATTCGTATGCTGTCCGATTTAATTTCTTACATTGTCCAGTTTAAATCTCATGCATTAACAGTGACTGACTGTTTCTTTAAGGAATTTGTAGATTTGAAGCAACAGCTTTACAGCAACAGCTTCACAGCAACATCAGGTTGATTTAAGTTTAAGCAACATTAATTGACAGCAGACTGTGACTGTTTAAGAAGTATTAGTTGAAGCTAAGCAGCTGTGTTGATTTGAGTTTGTTACATTCCAGCTACATAGGACTGATATAGCAGCTAACACTTTCACAAGTTTTGTATTTGTTATTTGAGAAGCTGTTTTTGAGTGAATTTGAATTCATTGCTGCTGATTTGTGTTGTGTTTGTTGTGTTTGACAGCAGGTGTCTGATTTAAGATAGTGTGCAGAAAGGTTAGTGCATCAACAGTTTTGACAACAGTGACTGTCAGATTTGAGAAGTTTGCTGTTTTGAGCTGATTTTGTGCAGAAAATGAGCTGTTTGATACAGCTGTAACAACAATAAGTGACTTGTTTAGACAGTAACAAGGAATGACAGCAACTCCATTTTGACAGCAACTACATTTTGACAGCAATTCCATTTTGACAGCAACTACATTTTGACAGCAATTCCATTTTGACAGCAGCTTCATTTTGACAGCAACTATATTTTGACAGCAACTTCATTTTGACAACAACTATATTTTGACAGCAACTTCATTTTGACAGCAACTATATTTTGACAGCAACTAGATTTTGACAGCAACTTCATTTTGACAGCAACTACATTTTGACAGCAACCATTTTGACAGCAGGTTTAGTGTGCATTTTTGACTGTTTTAAAACAGTCTTGAAGCCTTGAACTGTTTAGTATCTTGAATGCACACARCTTCTATACAGTTCTGTGTAGTGAATGAATTTTTGATTTGTTGTTTTGAGCTGTTTAGTGCAGTAAGTGAACTGATTGGATACAGATTTGATGCAACAGTTTCTGTCTTGAGCAGCAGACTTATTAGTGTCTGCTGACTTTTGCTAAAACAGGTTCATTGTTCATAGTTACTAACATCTGTGAAAGCATTATTTGCAGGTTTTGTAAACTATGTTTTAACAGTTTTGAAGCAACACAGCAACACAGCTTTGATGTGGTTTAAGTGCTGTCTGATCTAAGAACACAACAAGTTTAAAACAACAGCTTCACTTTGACGCTTGAAACAACAACTACACTGAAGCTAAACAGCAACTTCATTTTGTTGTTAGACGTTTTGATTTGAGTGGATTTGAAAGGATCTTACACAGTTTTGATTGCTKGTTTGAGTTTGAGGTTTAAGCAGCAGCAGTTTTTTTGAGTTTCATACAAAAGCTGTGAATTCACCAAATCAATTTAGAGTACTGTTTTAAAGTCTGAAACAGAAACACGTTTGATAGTCAATATTGGTTACATTTCAGCTAAACAGGTACATTGTTTTAACCTTGTGCATTATCTGTGCTTGTGAACTTGAGGACTGGAACAGACTTGGCCATATTGTTCAAGCATTGATTTTATGTTATTGATTTGATTGTTCAACTGTTTTTGTGTCARGTAAATCAAAGTACACTTTGGAAGATTTTCAGACATAGCAAGAGTTGGTTTTGGACAGATTTAACAGTTTTGGATCAAGTCACAGTAGCTCAAGTGAAGCATCTGATACGAGTAGAATTCAAGTGGATTTTTGAATACACAGAGCAGATAGATCATTTTTTTWAAAAGTGTAATATCTGTATTGTAAAGAGTTGATATTGTATTGTTTTTGGACTTAGAATCAGATTTTGGACTTGGACATTCTTTTTGGGCTTTTATTAGTTGTGTTTTTGGTTTTGGTTTCTTAGTTTGATTGTGTTTAGATTTTCGTTTGGATCATTGTCTATTTGTTTTTG